GAGGGCACAGTAGAATGTGGTGGGGTTAAGTTAGTAAATGATGGTGGGTTTGTGTTGACAGGTAGTGAGGTTTCACTGCCTGTGGAAACTGTTGGTGGAGATGTTACGTTGGAAGGTGGAGAGGGCACAGTAGAATGTGGTGGGGTTAAGTCAGTAAATGGTGGGTTTGTGTTGACAGGTAGTGATGTTTCATTGCCTATGGAGACTGTTGGTGGAGATGTTACGTTGGAAGGTGGGGAGGGCATAGTAGAATGTGGTGGGGTTAAGTCAGTAAATGATGGTGGGTTTGTGTTGACAGGTAGTGAGGTTTCATTGCCTGTGGAAACTGTTGAAGGAGATGTTGCGTTGGAAGGTGGAGAGGGCATAGTAGAATGTGGTGGGGTTAAGTTAGTAAATGATGTTGGGTTTGTGTTGACAGGTAGTGAGGTTGCATTGTCTGTGGAGACTGTTGGTGGAGATGTTACGTTGGGAGGTGGTGAAGGCGTAGCAGAATTTGGTGCGGTGTTAGTGGCTGGTGGTAAGGTTTCATTGATGGAAAGAGAAAAAGAAAACATTTTAAAAATTAACAAAAAACCAACAGGCAGTCAGATTTTTACACATATATAAAAATATTCTTGGCTAAATCTGACTGTTACTGTTTGCAGCTATTTGTTCATACCCACTTACTTTTTATTCCTTTTAGTGTCCACAATTGGCATTTTGCAAAATTACTTCTTCTGACTTTCTTTTAAATGCCAAATTTGACTATGTAAAATATATTTATATTATTTACAGTAAAAATATTGTTTATACTTGTTTTTTTAAATTATAAGACATGATGATATATGGATTTTTTGTCAAAAGTAAGCCATTAACCTTTGGTGCTACCCCAAAGGTTATCAGGTGGATCTACACGGCCATAGTCTGCCCCATGCTATGGTATGCTGCTTTAGTGTGGTGGGTTCGAGTCCAAGTTGGGGTGGCAAGAGTGATGCTCACCCATGTGCAACGAATGGCCTGCCTGAGCATCACAGGTTCCATCAAAACAACACCCACGGCAGCCATGGAATTCCTACTAGACCTGGCTCCACTAGATTTACATATCTTAGGGGAGGCCGCATCCAGTGCAGTAAGTCTACGCCAGTCTGGTAGGTGGAAAAGCCTATCTGACTCACAGCACACTAGAATCTGGGGCTGGGCAGTTGCTGCTGCTCCAGTAACTGCAGGACCTGGAGACGGAATGCTCAAAAAATACAATTTTGATCCAAGTTTTAAGACAGAGATAGAAGACACATCTGTCTGGATTAACCTCTCTACAATGGACATGTCTCCCAATCATTTCTACTGTTTTACAGATGGATCCCTTCTGAAGGGGTCAGTAGGTGCATGGTTGCTTATTTTGTACAACACTAGTAAGAGAGAGCATAAATACCCACTAGGTTGTTTTGCAACTGTATCACAAGCTGAGATATATGCAATCCACCAGTGTGTGGCATCTCTCAAAGACCTTCAGTGTACATAGAAGGAAATATTCATCTTAACAGATAGCCAAGCTGCTATTAGAGCTTTCCGAGGGCCACACTTTATGTCATTACTGGCTTGGGAGTGTGCCGAAGCAGTCAACCAACTGGGGAGAGATAACAGTGTTACTGTTAAATGGGTACCAGGACATACTGGCAATTATGGTAACGAGAGAGCTGACTGCCTCGCAAAAGCTGGCAGTCAGGCTCACTTCAAAGGACCAGAGCCTGTTGTAGGTACCTCAACAACAGTCTGTAGGACTGCCCTACAGGCCTGGATTAGATGTCAACACTCAATCCGCTGGAGGGAGCTGAATGACTGTAGACAGGCACGGGAACTGATTAACGGCCCAAATCTAAGGTTTGGGAAAGCTCTCATCTCCCTGTCAACACTGGTTGGAGTCCTAACTGGGCACAATCTGCTCAACTGCCACAACATGGTGATGGGACTCCATGACAATGGTCTGTGTGATGCCTGTAGCATTGAATTATAGACCTCTTTGCACTACTTAGGCCACTGCTTGGCTCTGAGTGGTCAAAGGAAAATAATTCTTGGGGACCCCTTTATGGATCTTGAGAAGCTCAGAACACTGAGTGTTTCTAACCTTGTGTCCTTCATCCGAGGGATGAGGAAGGTTTGAAAGAAGACCGGTGTCTTTTTGGGGAGAGCAATGGGCCCACTTAGGAGGCCTCCGCTCATAAGGATTTTATATCCATCCCCACTCACCATAACCATAAACATAAGCCATAAAAAAGCATAAAATAGTTCAAATAATTCTTGTTTTAATTATAAAATGCATTACAACAACTTTATTTTTAACCCATTCATAAACTAATTTAGCACTTTTGTATTATGTATTTGCACTCTACATTCAGAGCTTTTTAGACATCAGTAAGCAAATCAGTGTTTAACTGTGGTTTATGGTCAGTTACCTGGCAACAGAGTTGAGGCTGGAGTTGATGCGGTCAGGCTGATGGGAGGTGAGGAAAAAATAGAGGTCTCAAATGTTGAGGTGATGTTCCCCATTGTTGAGGTCATTTGCACAGGTGAAGATGTCACATTTTCTGTTGAGATTAAGTTCAGTGTTGTTGAGGTTAGAATTAGATCAGCTATCATAATATTTTGACTGCAGTAAAATTAGTTACCTGAAGGTGAACTTGTGGTGACTTTTAGTGTTATGGTTGTGCCATCTGTTGGAAATTTTGAATCAATTAATAAACGAGTTTAATTAGAATTAAAACAAAAAACCTTAATAGAATATTTTGACTATGGAAGAAGGTACATTACCTGTATGTGAACTCGTGGCAACATTGGGTGTAAAGGTTTCATTGTTTAATTCAGTCACTGCAGATGTCATGTTGAGTGTTGTTGGAATTGTGGCATCTGCAACGTTGAAGTTACACAAGAAATATTCAGTTTGTTTTCTTTCAAACATGCTCTGAGCTAAATATTAATTTATTTGTGCCTGTATTTCCACATTCACAAAATTGATAGACACAAACGACAAAGCAAATTATGTTAATGTTTTTAGTCACATCATTCCAAGTCTTCTTCCTAGTCATGTCATTCCATCCACTTAATTCACTTATTGAGTACTGATACTATTGATGTCATTAGCAAAAGTGATGGCAAACTCATTCAAAAAGCATCACTATTAATTACTACAATTACTTCTTTGCTGAGTATAATAAAAAGTATTCATTTCTTCAAATAAAGAAACTGCAGTTTTAGTTCTAATAATGTGGGCTAAACTTGTTTTTCACTTTTGGCCATGTAACACAAACTTCTGTTTTATATATAATATATTTTACCTGAAATATTTTTTATCACATGCTTACTTTGTATCAAACTTAAATTAATGAGTAGTACATGGTAACACAGAGTGATGGAGCACTTTTCAAACTTTCACAACGGTTGTAATAATATWAAAAAAAATTGAACAATGTAGTTGTAAAGCTATAGCATTATCATCGTGTGTTTATACTGCTCATTAAAAAGTCCGGTGTTAGGTCTAAAGTTAAGATTTTTGTGCTAGTCAAATTTAATTTATAGTTTTATAGCTGTAGAAAAGGATTATAGGCTGCATGTTAGTAAAGTTAGGTTTTTGTTAAATGGTTGCTTGTGAGCTGATTGTAAAGTTAGGTAGTAAATGTTATAAATTGTGTTACCTGTTAAAATTTCAGTTTCAGGGGATGTGGCAGTAAATGTTGATGGGGATGTATTCACTGGTGGTGTGACTGAACTGACGGTCGCAACAGAGATGTTTTCTGGTTCTGTCACTGCACTGACAATTGTTAAAGATGTTTTGGCTGGTTCAGATACTGTGCTGACTGGTAATGAAGTTGTGTTGCTTGGTTCACTGACCACTAATAAAGTTGTTTCAGCTGGTTCAGTTACTGTGCTGATTGGTGATGAAGTTGGGTTGCTTGATTCGCTGACTGATAAAGTTGTATCTGCTGGTTCAGTTACTGTGTTGACTGGTAATGAAGTAGTATTGGCTGGTTCAAACACTGTGCTGATTGGTAATGAAGTTGTGTTGCTTGGTTCACTGACCACCGATAAAGTTGTTTCGACTGGTTCAGTTACTGCACTGATTGGTGATGAAGTTGTGTTGTCTGGTTCACTGACCATTGATGAAGTTGTTTGAGTTAGTTCAGACACTGTGCTGATTGGTGATGAGGTTGTATTTTCTGGTTCATTAACCACTGATAAAGTTGTATCAGCTGGTTCAGTAATTGTGCTGATTGGTGATGAAGTTGAGTTGTTTGTTTCACTGACCATTGATAAAGTTGTATCGACTGGTACAGACACTGTGCTGGAAGGTGATGAAGTTGTGTTGTCTGGTTCACTGACCATTGATAAAGTTGTATCAGCTGGTTCAGTAACTGTGCTGATTGGTGATGAAGTTGTGTTGTTTGTTTCACTGACCATTGATAAAGTTGTATCGACTGGTTCAGACACTGCACTGGATGGTGATGAAGTTGTGTTTTCTGGTTCACTGACCATTGATGAAGTTGTTTGAGTTAGTTCAGACACTGTGCTGATTGGTGATGAGGTTGTGTTTTCTTGTTCACTAACCATTAATAAAGTTGTATCGACTGGCTCAGACACTGCGCTGGATGGTGATGAGGTTATATCTTCTGGTTTACTAACCACTGATAAAGTTGTATCAGCTGATTCAGTAACTGTGCTGATTGGTGATGGAGTTGTGTTGTTTGTTTCACTGACCATTGATAAAGTTGTATCGACTGGTTCAGACACTGTGCTGGATGGTGACGAAGTTGTGCTGTCTGGTTCACTGACCGTTGATAGAGTTGTATCGACTGGTTCAGACACTGCACTGGATGGTGACGAAGATATGTTTTCTGGTTCACTGACCATTGATGAAGTTGTTTGAGTTAGTTCAGACACTGTGCTGATTGGTGATGAGGTTTTGTTTTCTTGTTCACTAACCATTGATAAAGTTGTATCAGCTGGTTCAGACACTGCGCTGGATGGTGATGAAGTTGTATTTTCTGGTTCACTAACCACTGATAAAGTTGTATCAGCTGGTTCACTAACTGTGCTGATTGGTGATGAAGTTGTGTTGTTTGTTTCAGTGACCACTGATAAAGTTGTATCAACTGGTTCAGACACTGTGCTGGATGGAGACAAAGTTGTGTTGTCTGGTTCACTGACCATTGATAGAGTTGTATCGACTGGTTCAGTTACTGCACTGATTGATGATAAAGTTGTGTTTACTGGTTCACTGACCATTGATGAAGTTGTTTGAGTTAGTTCAGACACTGTGCTGATTGATGATGAGGTTGTGTTTTCTTGTTCATTAACCATTGATAAAGTTGTATCAGCTGGTTCAGTAACTGTGCTGATTGGTGACGAAGTTGTGTTGTCGGGTTCACTGACCATAAATAAAGTTGTATCAGCTGGTTCAGACACTGTGCTGGATAGTGATAAAGTTGTGTTTTCTGGTTCACTGACCATTGATAAAGTTGTATCAACTGGTTCAGACATTGTGCTGGCTGGTGATGAGGTAGTGTTTTCTGGTTCACTAACCACTGAAAAAGTTGTATCAGCTGCTTCCGTAACTGTGCTGATTAGTGATGAAGTTGTGTTGTCTGGTTCTGACACTTCGCTGACCATTGATAAAGTTGTGTCGGGTGGTTCAGCAACTGTGCTGATAACTGATGAAGTTGTGTTTTCTGGTTCTGTTACTGTGCCAGCCTGGGATGTTGTTTGGTTGTCTGAGGATAAAGTTGTGTCGGCTGATTGTAATGTAGTGTTGACTGCCGATAATGTGGGGTCAACTGGTGGAAATTCACAAAATTGACAAAACTTGAAGTTAGAGGAGAATTTTTTTTTCGGTCCAGCATTTTTATGACATTTTATTTTCTGATTCTGATATTTGCTATTTAATTCCAATTCCACATAATTGGTGTTCCCAGTTATTATTATTTTTTTTTTGGAATACTCTAAATATGAGTACTCTAAATATGGCTACTAGAATGGAAAAAAAAATGCAAGAATGTGTTTTAACCTATTTGCATATAGATATTGAAAGATAGATATTAATTTATTATTTTTTATCCTTTGTGTATCATGACTAGCTGTAGATGTCATAAACTGTAATGATTAGCATCTTGCTATACAATTGAGCATACAGCTCTGAACTGCATAATTCTGTTGCTTTTTTAAATAAAACTGCTTGAAAGTTAATTAGAAAAAATTACCAGCGTAAATTTATCTTGATTTAAAATATACACAAATGTTTATCCTTTTTTTGAGTTTACATGTTCTTTGAGCAAAGCTTACTTCTGTAATAATACAAAGATTTTCTTTTATTTTATAATATTGAAAGCTTGAGCTATTTAATTTTTAAGATAAACCCTAAATATTCCATGGTTTATCCAGTTAACTGACTTTGTTTGCTACCTTCAATTTTGGACCATCTACCATAACTAAAAGGCTACTTTTACTGGGACATTTGATATTGCTAGAAGATTTAATAGCAAGATATTGCTTTACTCCACAAACTTTGCTTCTTCATGTTACCTGTTGATTGAGTGAATGTTGCTCCCATTAGTCCTGTAGAGTGAGAGAGAGAGAGAGAGAGAGAGAGAGAGAGAGAGAGAGAGAGAGAGAGAGAGAGAGNGAGAGAGAGAGAGAGAGAGAGAGAGAGAGAGAGAGAGAGAGAGAGAGAGAGAGAAAGCAGTTATCAGTGGTTACATTGACTTCATCTTAAGTCCTTGTATCGTTACGTCTCACTGTCACAGACACTCGCAAACGGTATAATGCACTCTGACATTATTATTATTACCTGCTAACAGGAGAAGAAATATATGAGGTCCCATTCTCTGAGTGTCAGCTTCCTGTAATATATATTGCACGTTAAATAATCTCAAAATATATGAAAAAACACAGAGCAAATATGGAATTTGCCTATTTTAACAATGTGCACTCCAAATTTATAGTAACAGAGTAGAAATACCATTTTGTAGTTAGAAAATACTTGCAAGAAACTAGTGAAACCAAAATTTACTCCTGTCTCTGTCAAGTTTAAATGGCAAATTTAACCATCTCTGAACTATTTATTACATTAAGCAAACACTGACAATTCAGTAGATTTATCAACAAAACAATAGTCCTTCTGATAAAATCAGTCTTGCTGCCCAACCTTTACATTCTTATTCTCATTAACTGATAGATGATACTCAGAAGTTTTCATTCAGGTATGCCAACTTTCCAGCAGGACAAGTTTGGGAAACTTTTACCCTGTTTGACAAAGCAGTCTTACGCCTACAGTTACCACGCAGGATTCCTTCTGGTCAAAAAAAAAAMYTTCCATCAAACCAATAATTTACTCAATCTCTCTCCTTTTTTTTGTCCTTTTGCGATTTCAAGTTGGTACACACAAAAATACTGTGGTCAGTAATTTGTTAACACTATTACTCTTACACAACTTAACCTCATACAAWGTTCATACATACATTTTACATTATTTGTCATTCAAAAGGCATAAAAAATACCCTTCAATGTGTATATTAATATGACTCATCAGTTAGATAATTACAGTCAAAATACAATGTTTAAACTTCCTAAAGATTCTGATCCCAAAGATATTTGCTGCAATAACTTTTTTGGGGGGATTATCTGTTGCAGAAAAATACATGTTTTTAAATAAATGAATGAATGATTTTGTTCATAATGCCTACAATGTCTTCTGTTTTATGGATGCCTTCCAATCAAATCCATTTTGTGTTATTGGATAAATACCGGAATAACTGTCAGTTGAAGCAATTGTTTTAATTATCAGGTGATACAATGTAATTGTCTTTTAATCAACTGTTTCATTATACTTTCTAATCAGCGCTCACAAAGTAGCCACACTCTGAAAGATCAAGCATCAAATTACTAAAGTTTAAACTGTCTTGTGTGCATATTTGTTAGCTTTTATTAAAATTAACTAAAAAATAAATAAATAAAAATGAATAAATAAAAACTTTTGGCATCACTGCATTGTTTTAATTGTAGTGCTTTAAAAATTAAATGCACACAAAGGAAAAAAAAAAGTTAAAATGAACACCACACATTTCAAATTAATACAAATAAGCTTTGGCAAATAGATGTAAGAAAAGAAAAAAACTAAAACAGACTTTTAACAATTCCATTTCAGAAAAAGAAGTAAAGCAAAATGTTAAACTCCTCAAATGTATACCACCAAATTTTTAAACTAAATTAACATAAGTATAATAATATTTCATGCATTTTTTAAAACATTTGTTTTAAAAAATAGTGCAAACAAAAAATCCCTTGCTTACCTCAGTGCTGGCCAATTTGCTGCTGTTTTCCTTCAGCAGTGTTAGATAAAAAAACAGCAAACACCTTAACAGCTCAAGTCAAAAGATGGTAGTGAGGAATTATCAGTGGATGAGGTTCTTAAGAGAGGCAGGAAACTCTTGCTTTTTTTGTTTGTTTTTTTTTTCCTTCCTAGCATAACTAGCTGAACTTGTTTTCTTTTCATGTGTTGTGATGCTGCAGACATTGGATAAGAGAAGGGAGGTGGGGTGGCACATTGACGCAGGTTTTCAAAAGAATACCAGAGTAGAGTGGTGAGTAATGTAATCACAATTTATGCTATTTTAAAGTTAAAACAAGACCTGTATTTTTACTACTGCAGTAATTAAAAAAAAACTGCTAAAAACTACATAGTTCACTGTTTCATCCTGACCTACAGTTACAGGGATCTTTGTTAAATATAAATGATCTGTTACTCTCAGTGTGCTGTTTCACATCACTGAACTGTCTACTGAACTACTTTTCTTATGCATTTAATTTTTGTAAGTCTGTTTAAAAACATGTCATATCTGTGCACACGAACCAAAATACAAATAATTGTATTTCATGTTGAAAGCAACTCTCAAGCCCAACAGACCCGGAAATAGGCAGACACACAAGCCCACTTCAATAATTGATTTGATTGATTTATTTAACAGGAAAAGATTATTAAAAATCAAGCCTGACTCAGCATAATTGCTGTTTTACAGCAGGTTCCTGTTCTGCAGCACATACAACACTCAGAATTACAGCAT